TTTCCTTGAAATTTCCTTTCCTTCAAATTTCCTTTCCTTGAAATTTCCTTGAAATTTCCTTTCCTTTCCTTGAAATTTTCTTTCCTTGAAATTTCCTTGAAATTTCCTTTCCTTGAAATTTCCTTTCCTTTCCTTGAAATTTTCTTTTCCCTTTATTTTTTTTCCAAGAAAAAATAATGACTTTCCTTACCCTGCTTGGGCTGAGCTTTGGATCTGGCTTTAAGAAGATTTTCAGGGTGGTTGATGTGGGAGAAGGGACCCCATTGGAACATGTTGTGTTGTTAAACTGTTACATTTATACTCTTTGAATATCCAAATCTAATTTCCTTATATCTGATTAAATTTCAATGCTTCTCAGAAATATTTCTTTTACCCTGTAACATTTTAAGATCATTTAACATGACCTGTAAGATTTGAGTGCACATTTAAAGCCAAACACTTGGAATGTTTTGGGGCTTTTGGGATTTATCATATCTGTGCAGCTTGAAATCACACCAAATTAGAAATGCACAAATCAGTTAAAAATAAGAGAGTTGTTGAAAAAAAGGAAACTCCCACATTCTCTCTGGCACTGAAATTACAAAAGGTAGCAGTTTCAGACATGGGAGAATCTTGTGATTTATGATTGATGAGAGAGTAAACATCAAATAAAAACCTACAGTTCTGAATTCATATGTAATAGGCTGATACAGAAACAAACCCAGTGGTTTCCTCTAAATAATGCAGCTCAGGGAGGCTGAGCCCTCTGAAATCACAATCACACACTAAGAAATTACAGGGAAAATTCAGTGCTAGGGCACTTCTTACACAAGTGTGGTTGTAAATAATGCAGAATGGCAGCTGGAAATGTCACTGAGCTAGTATTAAAATTGGAACTTTTTTTTTTTTTTTTAAGATAAGTACTAGAATTAAAATGTTTCTTTGGGAAACATTTTGGTCTCCACTATGAGACACTTTCTATATTTTTGGGAGGTTGTATCCCAATGAGAGTGGGTGTTTCAGCTCTGGGTAGTAATAATAGTAATAACAGTAATAGTAGTAATAGTAATAACAGTAGTAACGGTAGTAACAGTACTAACTGTCAGTAGTAACAGTGATAACAGTAATAATAATAATACTACTACTAATAATAACAACAATAACAATAACAATAACAATAACAATAATAGTAACAATGCCAAAACAATACAAATAACAATGCAATAATGAAAATAAAGAAAATTGTAACAACAATAACAGTAATCATTATTTTCAGTGATTATAGAAGGCAGGAGGGTTTGAATGTCTGAAATTCATATTGTGACCACACTTTGTGACAGTCCAGGCACGTCCTGTTTCTAAGGCTGTTTAATTCACCATTTCCTTATGGGAGCAGGTTGGCTACAGAGCCCTGTTTGTGTTATTCTAACACAAATAATAAATTTTTGGGGTTTTTTATAATAATAAAACACATTTTGATTTTTACCAATGACAGATATGTGAACTTACAGACATTTTTACACACATGGGAAGCACAGTTCTTACCTAAAATCCCCATTTTTCCTTCACTCCTAACACCCACAAACCAATGCACATCCTCACTGACAATGGTGACATGTTTCTGGAAGTTCTTGGACATGTAAGTTTGGTACTACTATGGGATGAAAAAAGGTAAAAGCAGCATTATCCTCTTCCCCCAAATTGTGATTTCCACAAGAAATCACATCTCTGACTCTCAAAATGACAAGGGAGAGTCTGGAAGTGCTTGGGGGTGGCTGACAGGAGGGAAAATTAGAGAACTGAGTGCCTTAGAATGGGTTGTTTATTTTTCAGCTGTCACTGAGCATTTCTACCCAATATTTGCTCCTTCTAAGTCAAGTTGGCTGAGGGGTTTGGAAGCCCACAAGAATTTTGATTTTCTCCACATTGTATGCTTTGATTTAATAAGATATTGCCTTCACCAATTCAGCCATCCTATGTATTTCTTTTAGCTCCATCATTCTTTTTTTTGTTTGTTTTGAGAAGTTAAACCCTTGGTAAACACAGGCTTTTAACAAGGTGTTTTTAAGCAGATAGAAATTAAAATCTAAAGAGAGTTTTTTTTTTTTTTTTTCAGAGTCCTGAGTCTTTGATCACCCCAAAGGAATGACAAGGTTTTTTGCAGGTGAACTACATGTCATTTAATCTTTTTACTTCCTTGTGTATCTTCACCTTCCAACTCCAGGTGAAACCTGAGTTTCTTCAGCATCTTTCAAAAATAAATGTAAGAATTAAGTGATCATTTAAATCTCAGGTTTAAAGGTTGGTGAGATGAGTCACAAGGAACTTAAAATATTTGAGAAGGGTCACCGGTTTCATACTGGAAAGTCTCTTACCTGTAAGGCATGTGGCAAAACTTGTTCTGTGTTTACCAGAAAGCAACTTTTACTGTTAAGTACATGACAAGCTGAATTAAAAGCTGGTTTTGGGGCACTGTCAAGGTGAAAGAAGAGAAACTGTGGAATTGAGGCTGCCCAACAGAGGAGCTTATCTGAACCTCAAGCCCTGGTGACAGGCTCTAATGTAACACCCAGCCACTCTGCTGTACATATTTCCTGAAAAAAAAGTGATTTTTGGATTTTTTTTTAATGCAATATGTCATTTGCATATGTACTTTAGTAAAAATGGACTTTTGCTGCTAAATCTGAGCTTGGTTTCTTCTTTTGGTTCATTAAAGACTTCACACAAGTTAAGACCACTAAAAGAGACTTCACTAAAAACCAGTGGTGCTTCTTAGATACCGAGAATTTGACTTAGTAGACTTTGCAGGCAAGTTTCCATAGATGTAATTTCAGAGAAAATCCTGGTTAAGAAAGTCGGGAGTGGCATTTCCCGCCCCGTACTCCACAGTTTGCAAGCTCAGTAAAGGTTATTTGCATGTGAGCTGGACCTGCAGAGGTCAGGGGAGGGGCTGAGGGTCAGAAACTGCCCTGGTGTGTGGAATTGTACCCCCAGAGTCCCCATGGTGGTGTAATCTTATCCCATTAGAGATAAGAATCTCAAATTCTTACACCATGAGCAAGAATTAGAGACTGGGTTTGGTCCTATGGAAGTCCAAAAAAGAGAAGTCTGGCAACATTGACCTCCTAAGTAGAGGGAAAATGTGATTTTAAATTATTTATGCAAGAGGATATAGCTTGTTTTTAATCTTTAAGAGTTCCAGTTAGATCTGTAAACAAGGGGTTGCTAAGAAAAGATCTGACTGAGTCAGGAGTTTCTACATCAAACAAGGCACGAAGCCGAAATTGCTGCCTCACACCAGACAACAATACCCTTAAATTCATTTCAAGGAATATTTTTGTCTCACTTCCCTGTCACAGTAAAACCAAAATGAAACCAATTTTAGAAAACAGCTGCTGAAGCAAAATCCGGAATTTATGCAGTGATAGATGTGCCAAGTCTTTCAGGTCTGTAAAAACTTGAAAAAGAATTAGGTAAATAATGATCTTCCCTCTTCAAACTTCACTCTGCCCCACTCCACCCCATCCCACCCTACTCAGAACAGCATTCCTCTCACATAGTGTGGTTGGAAAAAAAATCTCACTGCAAATGATTTAATTAAGACTTTTAGCAGTATAAACCTCAGGCATTAAAAATATGACGAAATGTAAATGTTTAAATCATTGATGAGCCCCAGGCACACAGAGGCAGCTTTGACATCACTGAGCTCAAGTTGTGACCCAGATTTGGTGGCTGTCCATGGCAGCTGCCTGTAGCCAGGAGTAGTTTACCTGCTAAAGAAAATGAGGATAAACTCAGTTAAAAATGGCAAGTCATCCATTTTTCTGGGATTTTAAGCCTGGTCATCCAGTATTTCCCACCTGCTTCAAAGGAGTGAAATAATGGAGATTTACATCCACTCCAGTCTCTTTGCAGCATTGCAGAAGCAATGACTGGCATCTGTTTGGTGCAGTTCTTGCAATTGGTTGTTCTAATACAATAAACATGCAAGTTAGAACTGAATATTTAAACATTTGCTTCCAAATAATTAATAATACAGGAAAATAATGCAGGAAAATTAATAATACAGGCAAAAATAAAGGAAAAAAAGTGGATCTACACATTCAGGCAAGACTTATGGACCCAAGGTTTCTTTTCTTGGTTTAATTAAAAAGAAACTTTTGGAATTGTGTAGTTTATTAACTGCTTTGTGTTTTATAGCTTTACTAGAATATATTTGCTTATTACTTGCTTAAAGCATCTTTTTTACTCATCTTAAGTGTTGCACTGCCATTAAGTCATGCATTGCCCAGCCCCAAGGCTGTAAAAATATTTTACTTATTAAACACCCTGAACAAAAGGGTCTTCAGACGTGTTGCACTGCTCACTAAATTCCTCCTGCCTTTGGCTCACCTTTGGCTCACACTCAGACCTTTCTCCATGAAGGAAAAGCAAGCATGCTTGAGCAGAAAGCTGGGATTTATTGCAGAGCAGGTCAGGTGTGAGGTTTTCGTTGCGTTGGCTGCGCTCCCGACGCACAGAGGCTGGGAGGTGACACTCGCAGCCTCGCCCCTGTTTAAATTCCCAAAGTGTTCCATTCAAAATGCCACTCTCAGCACTGCAAGGAGGGGGACACTCAGCATGGGCACTCAGAATTGCCTCTGGCATTTCATCCTCCTCTCCGTTCTCCTCTGTGAGTAGAAATTAATTAATTTGATTATTTATTGTCGCTGTGCGTCATTGGGAAATATTCAAAATGATAATCAAGGAAGGGGGGGCTGCTAAAAATAAATATAAATCAAATAACATGCAATATTTATAGGGTTGTGGTTTCTTGTTTTGTTTTGTTGGGTTTTTTTTGTTTGTTTAGCTTGAATGCATTGGATTTCAGCAGATATTTTAGTAGGGATATAAAACTGTAAGTAGGTAAAAGAATGAGAGCAAAGTATTCAGAAAACTCATCTAAAAGATCAAACATGCAGTGTTTGACTTTTTTTACTTCTAAGCTTAGTTATGAATGATGCATTTCACCAATTTTTCTTCCCTGACTTCTTAGGAAAAGACATTTAAGACACTTAAGTTAATACAACCTAAAGTTAATACAACTTTAGGTTGTATTAACTGTGCTATGTTCTCACTGCACTGCAAGAGATTAAAAAAAAATCTAGAAATTCAGAGAGCTGCATTATTCTGTTCTTAATGTCAGATTTCATATCATTGAGTTTGGTGAACACAAGTTTCTTGACTGATCAATACCTGCTGTTAAAAATCTGGGAGATACAAGCACAGGATCTTGCAATTCAAACTGTATTTGGGTGTAAAAAAGATATCAGTCTGTAGGAAGAATTTTGAAAAATATGAATTGTAATATTACAAGTTTCTATGTGGACATTAAAACCATAGGAAAATACCACCCTGACTTTACAGGTGAATAGAGTCAAAAGCAATTAATCCTTAGGAATTTGATAGACCTGCTCCAGTACCCCCAGTCTGAGAATCCTCTAAATTTCATTCAGCCAAACCCAAAGATCCAGGATAATAATTAAGTGTTGTTAAGGAGTAAAATTGCAATAAGGGAGAAGGATATGTCTGGGCTTTCAACAGGAACAAAGCCACTCTTCAAAATCAAAGCTGAATTACCAGATCAAGTAAATTAAATAAACTCAAATTAGCCTGACCATTTAATCACAATGAAAAAAGGGTTTGATTTTCCTTTTAAAGAAACTTTGAGAGTGTTAGAAATGTTGTCACCTTCTCATTTGGGAACTACAGGAGTTACAATTTATTTGTAGTTAGAAATAGAGGTAAACACAGGAAGGCAATAAATTTTCACCCAGATTTGATACTATTTAGAACATCAACAAAAAGATATCTTCAGAAAAATTGTTCTATCCTGCCTGACAGAAAGTAATTAGGAAAGAAATAAATGCCTTGCAAAGTAAAGAAATTGAAGCAACAAAATATGCACAAACAGGCAAGGGGAAAATTGTGCTGAAAAACTCATTCTCCTAATTTTAATTTTCCTGTTAATTCTCTAGGAATTATACTTTATAGGAATCATAGGATCATAGAATCATTTGAGATGGAAAAGACCTTTAGGATTGAGTCCAACCTTAAACCTAACATTGATGAGTCCACCACTAATTTCTTTCTTTGCTGTAAATAAAATAATATTTATGAGAAGTGCATAGAAAATTGGGGGGAAAAAAGTAGACTAGGAATAGAAACATAATATAAATCTCTACATCTATACAGGAAAAAGGTATTACCAAGAAATTGCTAAGATCTCCTCAAATTTATGCAAATGGAAAAGGAAGTAACAGAGATTTCATGGTAGTTGAGGAATAGCAAAGAATATAAAAGTAGAAATGAGGAAGGAAAGGAATAACAATGAAGATGAGAACATTGAGTGAATTTTCCACACAAGAACACAGTTACAGTGGTAACTATTAAAGTACTTCAGAGAATTACAAGAAAGCAATCCATAATCCACATTTCTGACATTCTGGCAGGTACCCTGATGGCATTAGAGGGAAAGGACACAACGACTGCCACCTCTGAGAGCCACCCGAGTGTCTTGAGGAGCACAAACAGCAGCAGCAGAGCTGGCCCAGCTGCAAACAGTTCAGATGGTTCCATGGCAGAGCCTGACACCCCAAGAACCCAAACCTCCCTCCTGGGCACAACCTTGCTGTCCCCCTCCACCATGAGGATGGTGGGTGCAGAGAGCTCAGCATTGCTAACAACAGGAACTGGCACCACCATTGCTGCTTCCTCCCCACCTCTCAGCTCAGCCACAAGGAGCCACTCCTCATCTTCCTCCTCTCCTGGGAGCTCCTCAGCTGTGCCTCCCAGCCCACAGCAGAGCAGCACCAGCAGCACCACTAGGATGCTCTCAGCCACCACATCCCACCCATCCACAGCCCTGGTGTCCTCTCCATCCTCCACTGCTGGGCCAGAGACACAGGGCCCAAGCACCTCCAGGCCTGTGGCTTCCACTTCTCCTGCCTCAGAAACCATCGAGGCCAGGCCTTCAGCCACTACGGGCAGCAGCACAGGGACACCAACACCTCAGTTCACCACCAGAGAGCCCCCGGTGCAGGGGACGGCCACTTCACCTCCCTCATCCTCCAAAGCCACAGCCTCTGCCGGCAGCAGTGCCACGACTCCTCCTGGAGAAGAGAAAGGTTCCACCATGAACCAGGGGAACAGAACAACAACTGAGACCTCCCATTCCCACCTATCCACAGCCTTGGTGTCCTCTCCATCCTCCACTGCTGGGACAGAGACACAGGGCCCAAGCAGCCCCAGGCCTGTGGCTTCCACCTCTCCTGCCTCAGGCACCATCGAGGCCAGGCCTTCAGCCACTGTGGGCAGCAGCACAGGGACACCAACATCTCAGCTCACCTCTTCAGCCCTGCCCCAGGGACAGCCAACTGAGCAAGTGACGGCCACTTCACCTCCCTCATCCTCCACAGCCTCTGCAGGCAGCAGTGCCATGACTCTTCCTGGAGAAAGGGAGGGTTCCACGATGAACCAAGGGGACAGAACAACAACTGAGACCTCCCATTCCCTCCCTTACACATCCCCGGTGTCCATGATGATGACGGTAGATGGAGAAGGGAGGACAGACACTGCACCCACAACAATGTCAGAAAGAGGCTCACTGGGGACATCTCCTGGGAGTGGTGCACTGTTCCCAGCATCCCCAACAACAGGAACTGGCGCCACCACTGCCCCAGAGACTGGCACTGCTTCTTCCCAGTCCTTCAGCTCAGCAGTGATGAGCCACTCCTCCTCCTCCTCTCCTGAGGGAGCTGTGCCTCCCAGCCCACAGCAGAGCAGCACCAGCAGCACCACTGGGACGCCCTTGGCCACCACATCCCACCCATCCACAGCGCTGGTGTCCTCTCCATCCTCCACTGCTGGCACTACAGGCAATGAGTCAGAGCCCATTGTGAACAGCTCAGCTGCCACCACAGCCAGCACCAACCCAGTGCCTTCCACCTCTGGCACATCTTCCATGAGCTCCTCAGCTGTGCCTCCCAGCCCACAGCAAAGCAGCACCACTGGGATGCTCTCAGCCACCACATCCCACCCATCCACAACCCTGATGTTCTCCTCTGGCACCTCTTCCATGGGCTCCTCAACTGTGTCTCCCAGCTCACAGCAAAGCAGCACCACTGGGATGCTTTCAGCCACCACATCCCACCCATCCACAGCCCTGGTATTCTCCTCTCCATCCTCCACTGCTGGCAATGAGTCAGAGCCCACTGTGAACAGCTCAGCTGCCACCACAGCCAGCACCAACCCAGTGCCTTCCAC